CCTAGCATGGTAACAATGAGAGTCTTAAAAGGAGAAAAAAGGACTAATGGAGAAGAGGTAATAATTTCAAAAAATACTAGCTGAAAATTTCCTTGAGATGAAGAAAGAACTCATCTAGTTTTGTGCTATTTAAAGTAAAAAGGTCCACATATTTCCAAAACTTGCTTGAAGAGAAGACTGACCCAGGGTATTTGGTAACAACACAGACTGCTGAGCCCCAATCCAGATCCACCAAATCAGAGTTTTCAGGGGAACAGGATAATGTTCATTAACAAGCAACTCAAGAGATTCTTATCATTAAGAAATTTGGAAAACACTGGACCTATTTTAAACTCCTCAAACTTTAATATGCATACAAATAACCTAAGATCTTACTAAAATGCACATTCTAATTTAGTTCTGTGCTGGCCCAAGGACTTACATTTCCGACTAGTACTGGGTAGTTCAGGGACCAAGACTACTATTTCTTGCCATAGTTAGAGATGAGATGCTTCCCAATTCATTTTTTGGTGCGTAACACTAATATCTGAAAAAGAAAAGGGAAAAAATCTCTACATCAATCTCACTTAGAAAAATAAATGTAAAAATGTTAAATAAATCATTAGCAAGTTGAATCCAACAATATATCAAAGAAATAATATAGCCTCTGACCAAGCAGAAATTGTGCCAGGAATGCTAAGTTGGGCCCAGTGTTGGGAAATCTATTCATTTAATCCATTATGTCAACAAATTAGTGAAAAAAAATTACACAATCATATCAACAGATCCTGAAAAAGGCATTTAAAAATAAAAGAAATTACAAGACATTCCTTTTAAAACTTTTAGGTAAAATAAAGTAGAAGGAAACCATTTAAACATAAGAGACTGTTTAGCAAATTTAACAACAAGTATTATTCTAAATGGTAAAAATTCAAAGTCATTTTAATTTAAATTCAGAAACTATACAGAAATACCTGCTATCACCAATTTTAATTTAACATTGTCCTAGAAGGTAAAGGAAATTCAATGAGACAAGAATATGCTAATGATGTGATTGAAAACTTAAGGAAACTCAAATAAAAAACACAAGAATAAATACGAAATTTAGTAAAATGACCAGGATACATACACACAAACACACTCACAGACACATACACATAAATACATATACACAGAAGACAATGGGTTTTCTTGGATCTAGAATAAAAAAAGAAAAAGTATTTCATCTAAAATTGAAACAAAACCTACAAAATATTTGGAAATAAATGTAACCAAAAGACTGGATCTATTTTAACCAAAATTATAAAATCTTCCTGAAAGGCATAAATAAGACTTGAATAAATGGAAAGGCATACCATGTTCTTGGATTAAAAAAATAATATCAAAAATACAATTTTGTCAAAATTCAATAAATTCCACAGCTCCAGTTAGAATACTAATGCAGTTTGTTTTGTTTAATTTTAAATCGAATTTAAAATATTAAAATTCAAATGTGATGTCCAAAAATAGATTTTAAAAAGCATGAAATGAGCATCCAGATGAACTTGCCTTACCAGATATCAGAATAGTTTTAAGCTATATCAGGGTGAATAACAAATTAATCCCAAACCCTAGTGTCTTAATATAACAAAAATTTATTTCCTAGCTCGTACTACATGTCCAAAATGATTGGGCAGCAGCCTGGGTTATATAGTTACTTGGGAATTCAAGGTAATTAAGACCTGTCCTCTTGTAGCTGCATCATTTGGGACTTGGCAGGAGAGAATACATGGAGAAGTCTCTCTCTCTCTCTCTCTCTCTCTCTCTGACACACACACACACACACACACTCTCTCTCTCTCTTTTCTGTGGTTCAGCCTAGCAGTGACATACATCATTTCTACTCACAACCTATTGGCTAAATTAATCACAAGGCTCTGCCTAACTGCAAGGGGGCTAGGCAAAGTAGAAGATCATATTAATCAAATATGTAATATTTGATTAATACATGGTATTGCTGTAGGAATAGATAAATGGATCAGTAGGAAAGACTGGAGAATATAACTATTAAATCACATGTATATGTAAATTTAATCTATGACAAGGATAATGGTTTAATTCAGTAGGAAAATGGAGCTGTCAAAACTAGCTAATTATATGAAAAAGAAAATACTTCACATAATATGAAATAACAAACTGCAGGTGAATTAAAGACCTCATTGGAAAGAAAGAAAGAAAGAAAAGGAAAGAAAAGAAAAGAGAAAAGAAAGAACTGCCAAGAAAACCCAAGATATTTATATGGAAAAAAGCCAGGATTTTGTAAAACTTTTTAAACCAAGACTTGAAAACCCAAGTGTCATTAAAGTAAATACAGACAACATAAAAATTGTTTAAGTTTTTATGACAAATACATAAATTCAAGAGATAAATAATAACACTAGAAAAATACTTGAAATAGTCATGACAGGCAAAGTGTTTATATCTATAATATACAAAGAGCTCTGAGAAAAAAGTGCCTGGAAAGCAATCCAACAGAAAAAGGGACAAGGCATGTGAATAGACAAATTATAGAAGGGAAAATCCACATAGCCAAAAAAATCTTAGAAATTCAAATTTTCTGGTAGGAAAATAAACACTATGTATAAGCAATGTTATAATATTTTACATATTTTAGAATGACAAAGCTAAGAAGACCTCTAATACCCATTACTGGAAGCAGTGATGAGAGATCCAGAGTGGAAGAGTTCCCTCCCACGAGAAGGTTCCTCCTTTGCAACCTGTCTAAATAAGGGCGTGCTGTGCTCCCCTAGGCATCTCTGGAGTTTTCTCTTCGGGTTTAGGGGTGCCTGGAGTACCAGAGAGTGCAAGGTGAGGTTCATATAAATGCTGGAATTCCAGGCTTCAACAAAACCAAAGTGAACTAGCAGATTCCTCCACCTCCACCCCCCCCACCGTCGCCCCCCCGAAAGGATCCGATTTTAGCCTGGCATAAATCCGTACGATAAATTTCCAAGCCTTAAAGCGCTTCCTGCCGGATACGTTTCTTGCTCCCCCAAGACGTGCGCAAGCAGGCAGGACTAGTGCGTAAACGCCGCTCCCGGGAGAATGCGGGCTTGCGCTAACCCGAGCCTCTGCGCTGAGCCATGCTACCCATCCCCACCCACGTCGCACAGTTTTGAGTCCCCGCAGTGAAAAGAGAGGGGACAGAGGAATAGATGGCCCCCAGAAAAACTCCGAAGGTTCAGTTCCTCCGGGTAACCGTATCTCCTGGGCACTCTGGGCTGGAAAGCCCTCCAAACCTCAGCCCATCTCGGCTTTTCCAAAACGGTTCGCACCCACGGGCGAGCCTTTCCCACCAACTTCACGTTGGTGGGAAACCAACACCAGCTCCGCGGTTTGAAATGGCCTTCGACTGGCAGATGAGGCCTCGAAGTCCGCCGGGGGGGTGGGAGTGGGGAGAGAAGGGTGGGAGTGGGGAGAGAAGGGGCACAAAATTGCCTTCCAGTCCCTATGCAAAACTGCGAGGGAGTAAGGGAAGGAGCCCCCGACGCCACCCGGCCGGACTCTGGCCCTCAGGCCCCGGAGGCGCAGAGGCAGACGCTGCTAGGGCCCCGGGCGGTGAACGCGAGGCCGCAGTGGGTGCTGGCAGAGAGCCCAGAGAGGCGCGTCTGAGCGACACACTGCTTATAGGTGGCTCGGGCGCTCACCAAGCTTCGTAGGGAGCCCAGCCCAGTCCTGGCTGCCTATGCAGGGGGCTCAACTGTAGAGCTCAGCTGGAGCTTTCAGGGACCTAGGGGCCAAGTCACCGGCGAGTCTGGGGAAGGTGTCCCCAAAGCTTAGTCTATCCTTGCTTCCCCAGGGGAATCGGTCCACCCAAAGAAGGGAACTAGGTATTTGGGGATATTTCCTAAACACGATCTCAGGAAAGTTGTTTTCCGTAGACCTAGAACTGGGCATTGTCACCTCTTCCTTCTCGGTAGCAGCCAGAGCGAGCCCGTGGTACACTCGGGCTGGAGAGAGGCCCGGAGCGCAGCGCTGGCACGTCGCCCCCACACTTGCCCGACTCCCACAGCCACAGGCAGGCGCCTCTGCAGAGCTGTCGCAGCGCTCCGGGTTGCTCTCCCTGGAAGTTGTTGTGTCCATCCCTACAGCTCTTTCTCAAATCCTTCCTTTCTGTGCTTCCAGCTGCAGACTCCGGCGCAATTACTCCGAGGCTACCTAGCGCCCCCTCGCGGAGTGCGTGGGGCGCCCGGCTTGAGGACTCGCGCAGCAGGTAGCCCAAAAGGCGGGGTGGCTGCGTTGGTGGAATGAGACAGTTGCCAACAGCTGGTTCAGCTGCGGCGCTGCGCACGAGGACTGGCGAGTACGCAACCCAGGTACTGCCCCTTCTCGGTGACGTCTCTGCAGAGGGTTATAAAAGCCTCGCGCGCAGCCTGCCGAGGTTCTGCTAACTCCCGAGCCGAGCAGGACCCAAGCCAAAGAAGCGCCTGCGAAGCTGCAGGCGGCGGCGGCAGTGCAGCAAAAGCAAAGGAAAAATCTCCGGACGGACAAGGGGCCCCAGAATCCCCGCCATAGACTCAGAACTTTTACAGGTCGTGCTGTGACGAACACTCTCCCCTTTGCCCCTAAGTCCTCCTGCAGGACAAGGCTTTGCATTTGCCGCTGCGAGCAGCGGGAACAGGAGTTGCAAGCAGCAGCAGGTGCAGAAAGGTCTCCTGCTTCCCGGAACCGTTACCCGTGGAATTTCTTTCCTTTTTCCAGTCCCACGCAGTAGAGACGCTGTCTCCGGATTTCTGAACTCAAATGCTTCCTGATGCTTGAAAGTGGAGGAATTCAGAGCCACGAGAAGCAGACAGCGCATCTAGAAGTGTTTATCTTCTGAGCGCCAACTCTCCTGCTTGCAAAAAAAGAGTTCTGCCCAGAAGGAGCCTGCAGCCCTCCTGTCTTGGTTAAACAGGACCCTGACCCCAGCCGTCAGCCTCAGGGCCTGCTGCAAAGGCAGGGTGTGTGCAGGGAGGAGGGCTTAACCACTTGGCGGGGGGATGGATAACGTCCTCCAGGTAGACCCAGACCTCTTCCCCAATGTCTCCACCAACACCTCAGAGCCCAACCAGTTTGTGCAGCCGGCCTGGCAAATTGTCCTTTGGGCAGCTGCCTATACGGTCATCGTGGTGACCTCGGTCGTGGGCAACGTGGTGGTGATGTGGATCATCCTGGCCCACAAGAGAATGAGGACAGTGACTAACTATTTCCTGGTGAACCTGGCTTTCGCAGAGGCATCCATGGCTGCATTCAACACGGTGGTGAACTTCACCTATGCTGTCCACAATGAGTGGTACTACGGCCTGTTCTACTGCAAGTTCCACAACTTCTTCCCCATCGCCGCTGTCTTCGCCAGCATCTACTCCATGACTGCTGTGGCCTTCGATAGGTGAGCTTGCCCTTTGTGGAGAAGGGAGGAAGTGTCCATAGAGGACCGTGGCATTGCTGGGAGCTTCCAGGTTGCACTGCGCCTGGTTCAAGGTGGAGATTGGTCACCTGTACCCTGGGGTTTTTCCTGACAGCCAACTAAGTCAGTTGTTAATGGGGAACTTTATCTTATTTCACCATTTTCTTTTCTATTTCCTTTTCCCGTTTCTCCTCCTTTTCACTCATTGCCAGTCTCCCTTTCTTCACACGCCTCCTCTATCCTTCATTTTAGCCTATTTTTTTCACCCCTCCTGCACTCATCTCCTTGACACTTCCCTTTCCACTCCTGCTTTGCTTCTTTCCATATATTCATCCTCTCCTTTACCCTGAAGGCCTGAAGGGGGTACCAAAACTTGGCCAAGGGGCTGGCCTTTGGCTGGGGCTTTGTGAATCTCTGCAAGCCTACTATGATGCTGGGCAGTCTCTTGGTGCCTTCCAGTTTTAAGTATGTCTAAGCAAAATTTCTCATTTTTCACTTTTTCCTGGACATTCGGAGATCTTCTGCTCCCACCTCAACTCTCCAATATTATTTGTATGTGAAGAGCATTTCGTTAGAATCATAAAATACTCAGGATTCTAATTTGGCTCTGTCTATGCTGCTGGGAGCTCTCTCATTCAGGAATGAGAGGCAGCTGGGCTGTTCTTCAGGAACTCCACAGATAGGGACCCAGGGAGCTTACCCAGGAGCCTTTTTAATTTCTGTCATGTAAGGTCAATGTTTTTAACCTGTCTGTATCCACAGAGAAACGTGCTTGGCAAAGGCAGTTGAAAGCTCTTTCTTTCCTGCAACTAACTAGGATTTCAGAAGCTGATTGAAAATGAAAATGTTGGCATTTTCAAATACTGGGGCTAGCATTTTGAGATGAATGGCTCCTCAGATGGCGGGATGGAAAATTGATTATTAGAGCACAGCTTTATCTGTATTGACATTTTTGTGGGTGTTATAGGTCTCTAATGTGTATATCTATGTGTGCACAGTTATTAAATGCGTACCTGAGATGCGGAGGTATGTTGAAAACACCTTCTACTATGATTTGAAAATGGGTTCTTTCCATGGCCTTGATGAAATCAATGAATTATGAGAAACCCCAAGAAGGACCTAGAAGAAAAATCCCCCCCAAAAAAAAACTTCCCAACTACTAAACTCTTTTAGCATAAAGATTGTTTATCACTTGCAATTTATTTAAGGCCTTTTTCAGCTTCCATAGCCAATTTAGCATAAAGATTGTTTATCATTTGCAATTGATTTAAGGTCTTTTTCAGCCTCTATAGCCAATCAGAGAAATGTTTCCAGCTTTGGGGTGGTGTCCAAATGCTGATTTTTAAATTCCGTGTACATCTCCCTTTATGTACCTCTATGTGCTTGATACGTTGTGTGTAAAACAGGTTGTGGTGAATCAATTTATGTTTTAAAGGTGGAAGGTAAACCAATTACTCGAAGTGCTACTGAAATGAATTCTTTTGTAAATTTATCTTTTATGGTACTTTAATTTTCAGATATTAAGTTTGTTGAAAGTGAAGTATGCCTATAAATCTTTCTGCACTGACTTGCTCCTTTAACTGCACAGCAGACCCTTACATTTAGAAAACCCAGAGCATGATAAATGACTGAATACAGGTGCAGTGAAACCTGCTGTGATTTCAGCCTTGATGAACTTTAAATTAGAGGGAAAGTTGCTATTTTAAATGCACTTGGGCCTTGTGTGGGCTCAAAGGAGACCTCTCAGTCAGTGTGTGCTGAGCATTCAGTAGCTGGTGGAGCACCAGCAGCTGGCTCTCTTTGCTTTGGCTTACACAGAATTGACATGTTCCACAGCCATGCTCTTTCTCTTTGAACTTAGAAGGCAAGGGGCAGGAGTCAGGGTCAAAGTCTTCACACTAATTGGGTAGGGAGCCAGATTTTGGCTGCCTTGACCCTGGCATCTCAGGTTCCATTGTTCTTTCTCTCTAGGCAAACCAGAGACAGGACCCTGACCCTGCATGACACCTGCTCAGTGAGGGAAATGACAGCAGTGAGAAATGTCCCCAGGTCCCTAATGTACAGATACAGCCCAGGGAGATTATCAACATCATGCTCAAGGTTAGAATTCAAGGTAGAGGTTGGGATTAGGCTCCAGGGCTCTGTCTCCAAGTGCTCCTTCTATTTTTCCTTGCTCAGCCTCATGAGCACAGTGAATTAATCCCCCACAGGCCTTGTGCTGGAGGTAGCTCCACTGCATTTGTGGTCATCCATTCTCTCCCAAGAATATTTTAGAAAGGAAAGGGGCTGTCAGCTCTCTCCATATGAATTATCTCTCCTTTCTTCACCAAGACAGTGCAGACTTTAAGGAAATGGTAAATTATCTTTTTGTACGTTTCCTTGAATTTTTAACAGATAGTGTCTAAGTCAAGTCTTCAAAGCAGAAGCAACATGGTTTTCCTGATTATAAAATTAAACCTGTTCATTGCAAAAACTTGGGAAATATGAAGAACATGGACACAAAAGTACAAATCAACCATTAGTTCACCATGTAAAAATAACACCTGTTAACATTTGAATTTCTCTCCTATGACTATTATACTACATAATTGAGGTCAGATTCTATATAGTTTTGCAGCTTATTTTTTCCCCATTGATAGTAATGGAAATCATTAATAACGCTTTCCCATGTTATTAAGAAGTCTTCAGTAACTTAATCTTAATAGCTTCCTATTATTCCATTATATGAATGTGCTATTATTACTTTAACCATCCCCCTACCGTTGGGCATTTAGGTGGTTTCTAAATTTTTTTGCCTTATGGTGAATGCACTAATAAACATTTCTATATGATAATTTTGTTTTGCTTTCTTGATTATTTCCTTAGGCTAGATTCCGAAAAGTGGAATTACTGGGTCAGATGAAATGAATTAAGAAAAAAACCTTTTTCTCCCAATTTTAAGGGATTGTAAACTCTGAGCAAAGCAAAGAACACATCTGTTCTGTCTTGTTTATCTCCTCAGCACAAAGCAGAGTGTCTGGCACCTAATGGTCACTACACATTTATTAAATAAGTGAATGAATGAATAAAATAATACATCTTCCTGAAGAACATTTCGAAAATACATAAAATTATAAAAAAAATGTGAAAAGTATCTGCAATCCCACTACTGACAGATAACCAGTTAAAATTTTGGAATGCTAGCTTATACTGGCTTTTTCTATTGCATTATTTATGCCACATACAGTTACACCTTTAAGGATGAATTTTGGATCATAATAAAACAGTTCAATAGTTGCTTTTTGTTTTTTGTTTAATTCCTTAACATCATATCATGGGCATTTTCCATGTCATGAAATACTTTGCAAAATGGGATTTTTAATGGATGCGTTATATTGCATGGCTATACTCATTTATTTTACCATTACTCTGTTTTTAGATGTAAATTATTTCCATTTTTAATAATTACAAGTATCCTAGACATAAATTTTTAAGAGCATCCATTGTTCTCTCCTTGGAATAAACTCCTTGATGTGGAATTGGTAGGTCAAACTGTCTTTGTAAACTTTGCCAGATTTCCTTCTAGAACCAAAATGTATACAGAGAAAAAACCTTCAGCTGTAGATTGTAGTACTAATTTAATTCTTTTCTGTTATCTTTCCATAGAGTGGGGAACGAGCGGGGGTGGGGGGTGTCTACTTCTGAAGAAAAAATATGTATTTATTGGAGGCAGTATTTACCTAGAATAAAAAGTTTGCAGAGAGAGGGGCATCCGGGTGGTTCAGTCAGTTGAGCATCTGACTCTTGATTTTGGTCAGGTCCTGATCTCAGGGTTGTGATCTCGGGGTCATGATCTCAGAGCCATGGATCAAGATCGAGCCACATGTGGAGCCCCAAGCTCAGCGTGGAGTCTGCTTGAGATTCTCTCCTTCTCCCTCTGCCCCTCCTCCCCCCCACTTGCATCTCTCTCTCTCTCTCTCTCAAATAAATCTTTTTAAAAAAATGGTTGCAGAGACAAATATACCTAAACAAGAGCAGGTCTAACTCTAATTAAACTCCAAAAACACCAGGGATTTCACTTTTTGAAACTCTGCAATTTCACCCACCCAGGGAAAAAAAATTTCCCTGTTAGAAAAATTAAAAGGCACGTGTGATGTTTCAAAAAATTGGAAGTTGGAGGACACTGAGGTGACACCTCCATTTTGCAGGGACCCGTGATGGTTGCCAGTTCTAGTACTGCAGAGCAACATCTAAGAAGGGAGGAGGGAGACCAATTTTGAAGCTCCACAAGAGGGACTGTAGAGGCAAAAGGCAGCCTGACTGGGAAACAAAGCCACAGAAGGCTTAGACAAGCACTGGGCTTGGGCATCTGGGTGGCTCAGTTGGTTAAGTGTCTGCCCTTAGCTCAGGTCATGATTCCAGAGTCCTGGGATCAAGCCCCACATTGGGCTCCCTGCTTAGTGGGGAGACTGCTTCTCCCTCTCTCTCTTCCCCCTCCCCCCTCCCCTGCTTGTGCTCGCACTCTCTCTCTCTCAAATAAATAAATAAAATCTTTTTTAAAAAAAAAGAAACAGAAAAGCACTGGGCTGGTGACAGTGCTTCTCCACATGGAAGGAGCAGGTGTAATTCCAGCGATTTGAAAGGAGAAGATTGCTCACTCCTCAAACTGGTTCTGGATCTTCTGTTTGAGTGAAAGGAAACATCTAAATTATGATGGTCTCTGAACAATATGAAATATGGTCAGGACCAAAAATATAGTTGCCCAGATAGGTAATGGTGAAGGCAAAAGAAAACGTGAGCTCTCAGAGAGTAAAAAAGGAACCAAGAGCAAAGATATGCATAAATAACAGAAACTTCCCATGGTTCTGTGGTATCTATCCCACTCTCCCAGTCACACTCAGCTACAAGTTCAAATAGCCTGCTTCCCAGGTCTCCACTAGACCTGCAGTCTGTCCTTGAACCCCACCTTGTTGGCTAGACTTGGATCCCATTGTATATCTCAG